ACTCTCCTTCTGTACTTGTACCTCACAGATACCCCTTATTTTTGACATCATACACCTTGTTAACCTTCTATCCCCTCAAATATACATCATCTGCGTCTTCCCTTCTGATAGAAACCAATCTCCTCTCCATAAACCATTGTCCTGCGTAGTCTGCTTCCCCAACTACCACCACTCAGATATGACCAGCTCCCTGATTCCACTGAGCACCGACACGCCACCGGAGCTGAATTGTCAGTACCAACATGCATTGTACAGGCTTGGCGTGCCAGGTGGTGTGTCACATCTTTTAGCAGCCTATAATGCAAAACCAATTGGTTCACCGAACTCTAGCCTACTTAATCATTCAATTTAAACTGATAAAGGTTCACCATGCCTCAGAGATTGACAGATTGATCAAATAAAAAACGTCTAGTAATTATTTCTTTGAATCTAGACGACAAACTTTAGGGGCTTGTGTTGTGAGTCAAAAAATAAAAAATAATCCCTCGTCAAGAAAGAGCAGCAAAATGCAATAGTAATATACATGAAATGTTGAGAGTATTTCCAAGTTTTGAAAACTTACTGTGATACATTTACAGCACTTACCTTAACATATATAAGATTCTTGTAGAGCTCAGGGTCAAGGGTCGATAGTTCATCAAGAAAGCTATAGCGGCCCAACAGCTTTTGAACAAAAACATGTGAAAAACAAAAATCAAGTAGTATTCCTTCATAAAGCGCTTTGCCAACTATTCTTCCAAGAAACTCAATCATCTGGATACCATTCTCCAAATATCTAGCAGCAGTATTAGGGATTAGAAGTCTGTCAGAAGTTGAGGTCTGGGAGAAAAGCCCATACCTGCAAAAGTTGAAATAATCACCATAATATGTGGCAGGAGGAGAATCGTATGATATAGTAGATTGTGATGTAAACACGATCCCAAACTCACTCTGGCGAGAAGGCTGCCTTAGAAATATCAGTCAAGAACTCTTTGGACAACCCACCATAGTCAAGGCCAGCCTCCGGAAGGCCAGACTCACTCACAAATGAAACATGGATACTGGACTTCATCTTGGACCTAAGAGTATTCAATTGCTGGAATCCATCTTCAACAACATGACCACGGCGTATAACTATCTCAATTGATCGTGAACCAGGCCCTGCGACCTCACCGGCCATTCTTCTAGTTGCTTTGTCCATGTTGATAAATTCTCTGAACATTTTAACTCTGCCAAGTGAGGCAAGCAGTATTTCAGACTATCATTAGGATTAATATAAAAAATTACCAAAAAATAATAATGATGATGATGATGATGATAATGTATTCAAAGTTCTTTAGAAGGGGCAGAACGGGGAAAAATAGAAACAATCACTTTTTATCATTTCCAACTGTACTTTTAAAAGGAAAACTGCTCTTGGATTTGGAAGTACTGTAAATGGTTCTTTAAGTACTGCAAGCAGGTATCATAAATATCGTAATATATGCATCTGATTTTGCATATAAAGGAAAACCGGATCTCCCCCTTGTGTAATTTGAACATTTGAGCATTATTGTTCCATGTGCAGAATGAACTTTCTTACCCAATAAGTTTACTATAAATTTAGTGGAAGTAACTACTGTAGTTTTGTAAGTGATAGGATACTATTAGTTGAATGGCTAAACAAACTGCAGTAAAAAACAAGTTTAGCCTCCGTCTAGGAAGAATTTTATAAACAGATTAATTTATAAATATAAATAGATAGAAATGTGTGGTGGATAAATGAATAGTACTTGTGGATTCATTGGAATGTGTGGTTGAAGATGAAATTTAACCATTTATAAATGAATTTTAAATTTTGCCAAACGGAGGCTTAACTATGTGCTGATGGCCAAAAATCGAGAATAAGACTATAGCTCGTTGATTCAATGAAGTGCCATTACAGCCTTGCCAATAATTTCATAAAACTTATAATGTTCAGTCAAGAGAAAATCAGTTACTCTAGTTTGTTAAAACAAAACTGAAGGTCCGAATGCCCTCTGCATTTATATTTTTTAATGTAACCAAAAAATAAAGATAACCTTACCGATAAAAATTAATCAGGTACTGTGTGAACATAGAATCGATTTGTGGGTATTTAGACAAACTAACACTAAGTCCATGTTTGGCCCCCATTTTTGAAAACTCATTTATCTCAAACTCATTTTCAACCACATATTTCATGGGATCCACAACTTTTATCAACTTCTTGACCACACGTTTCATCAACTTTTATCAAATACTAAAAAACTGACCTTTAGCTAAACCAAACACGGGATAAATAAATTGCATATGTTGGTAAACTTAACATGAAAATTGCCCAAAATCACTGTCAATAGTGCCTTTCAAAGAAAGCCAACGAGCTAAAGCGTGTCACATTGATCTCACCTTTCCTCAAATGGGAAGATGTGTGGGGTCGTAGTTATGACAGAACCCATGCTTGAAGAGGGTGTTCCATCTGCAGTTGACAGAACCTCATGAGTCCTGGCAGCAACAGCAATTGGCGGCCTACTATTTTTACCAGGTGAAAGCCACAAAGCAGGAGGGCAAAACTGATGCCTGCAATCCCTTTCATATAGTAAATGCAGGCACCGAGTTGCAGAATCCACAAGAGGTTTGTTCTGTGGACTGATACTCTGGGAGAAGGCATTATATACAAGTGTATTCACCATTGAGGCAATTTTCCGCTGCTGCTCTAATGTGAAGGGAGCCTAATTATATAGACAGAACAGTTGTTAATATCCCCAATGCACCCAGACAATCAAATTAGGTACATTGATAGATAGTTGAATTAATGAAAAAACTGAATCTAACCTGTTTATCATAAAACTCTATATCATCAAGAACCAATAACAGGTGCGAATAAGTGGAGCAGAAGAGATGTAGTAGACAGGACATATCTTTCGAAATACCATCAGGACCACGTCTTAGAAGCTCTACATCCCATTCATCAGAAGAATGTTCATTGACTGATTCCGTGCAATCATTTTCTGCTTGTGACTTCCCAGTGAATTTATGGAACACATTAACCCATTTATTGCCTCCATCTCCACCAAATCTCTTTTGCTTTCTCTCAGAAACTCCATCCCTTTTGACCTCATAGATTTTATTTCCATGGCTCAAGTATCCCTTACCAATATGACTTTTTTCAGGAAAAAGGGATTTTTCTAGTGCTTCCCACAAATTGAAAAGGAAACCAGGGGTAAAGGACAGCATGTTCAGAATAGGCAATGATTTAAGAACAGGATTAAAAGTCGAAAATATTCGAAGCATGCATGAATAATAATTAGCTATGTTGAGCAATTCACACCTCCATAAATTATCTGGATTGCCTGATGGCAGATTATTAGTTTCCAGCGTAAATGAATCTTTAGACAAAGATAACAGTTTCTTAAGATGCCACTGTTGACAAACGGGTTTGAAAAGGTCCATGTATAACATCTTTGAAGAGCCACAAGTTATTTCAGCCTCATGCAACAGTTCAAAAGAAGCAGAAGTATTATTATCGCCTAGTATATCTTCATCTTCCTCCATAATCCATCCAAAAATTTCGAGTGAATCCAACAATTTCTCTGCAAGTATAATAACAACGTGAAGGTAAGATGCATAGTCTAAGCCCGGCGTGAATTTTCCTGAATCTAGAGCACTGGTGTCACACCCTGTTGCAAGGAATACCAAATTTGCTAGAGCCCAGCCAACTTGTGGCATCACTTTGGAGTGAGAAGTTATTTTTGACCGATCCATCTCAGAAATCTCCTCCAGAATCTTCTCTTTTGAAATCTGCCATCACCTGCCATAGTTTGATCAGCCCCTGACATTTAACACCTAGAACAGCTAAAACCTAAAAGGTTACCTCAAAAGAAAATCTCATAAATATTTTTTTCACAACTAATTGATGGAATAAGAGTTAATAAAGCTAAGAAAAAAATCCATAACAGATTTTAAATAGCTATTCTAGCAAAGAATTCTTTTTTTGACAAATAAAAAATTGCACGAAGAGGAGTTTCACCCATTCAACAAACCATACCAGTAGTATCCTGAAGCAAGGTGATAATACGGACTTGTGTTTCAGAGCAGGTACAAGTATTGCGGGTAAACGTTGAGCAAGCCATGGAATAGTAAGTAGTAACACCCAGTACTGTTTGACAGCACACTCGAACATACTATCATCATTTACATCCATGTCTGCAATGTGGAATGGCCGTAAAAGTAAAGTGACTGCACTAGCTACTATCAAGAATCTATCATCAGTCTGGCAAGAAGAGACCCCTAGAGAAGAAAAGGGAGCTTCCAATTTATAAATGAATTTCCTAATGCAATTGTACAACCCACTTCTTGTACTACCAATAAATTGTACTAGTTTTTTTATTGTGGTATTAGTATCCTCGCGATTGTCATTGGCAATGCTTCTCCAACCTTTCGGATCAGTCAAGACAACAGCTAAACGCATTGCTAATGAAGTAAGAAAAACATCTTGATCCCCTCGTTTGGAATAATCAAAATTTGCTAAAATGAACGAGCAAACAGCGATCAATTTCTTTGATTGGTAAAGCCATATTTTTCTCTCTTCAATGGTACCAGTTGCCATTGAGCAAAAATTCTGATGCCCATCTGTGAATCAAATGTAATCATACATCAGAACCACTACTGATATTGGCCAGTCTATTTATCAGCAGGATATATTATAAAAAATAGCATTGATATAAAAGTAATTTTTTAACAAAAATGCAATTAAGAATTTGGCCATCACTATTATCCCGAGCTAGCTGGAGTCTGAGATCTGTCAAACATAACCTAAAGGTTTTCCAATTTTAATCCAATTTATAACTACTCTTTAGTCTAACAAGATTAGTTATCTTCCTAGTTACATAAAAACTCATTCCATTCCAATGTAAGCGGCCCGTAGCTCTGAAAGGTCCAATAAAAGTTATTTCTTTTCCTTTAAAGTTCGGATTGTTGAAGTGTGTGCTTCTAGATATCTCCAATAACAAAAAATAGGAAAGTAACTCAAAAATTATGCATAACTTTAAAGACACTAATGTGAAAAGTAGTACCAGATGAATTTATGCTCTCCAAAACAAGTTTGAAGCAATTTATCATACAATCTCTATCAGCCACTTGAATTTCCCCGAGCCGTGTTGGTAAATACAAAATGAAGAAAAGAAAGGGTCTCAAAACTCCACTTGATATCTGCATTCCGGTAAAAGGACCAGCCCGTTTGTTAATCATTATTTCCCAGTCCTTCTGCATCTGCAATGCTACCAATTTCGTCCCATTGTACCGCCTCCAAAGCCTCTGAATAAGTTCAAAATTTCACCGATTAAAACGATTAGATGATTTATATTGTTGTTTCTGAATATCAAACTAAATTATAAAATTATAAAATTTCGTTTACCTGTATAATTGACGCGGCGGCGGTGGCTCGCTTGGTATAATTTCTCAGTTCCCTTTCTTGATTAACCTTCTCCAAAAGCGCATCCCTCGAAATTTCCCGGGCACTGGCTCCACGCAGTGACACCTGATCAAGACTCAAAACTCAAAATTCAGCGAACTTTCTCATCATTTTTCCCAATTCTTTGAACACAGAAATCAGATTAAAGCACTAAAACAAGTGGTAAGTCACCAAAAAATGTGGAAAAAATTAAAGATCGAGATTTGGTAACATAGAGAGCAACCTGGTGTTGCCGAGGTTCGTTCATTGTTGTTGATTATTA